CCTGGGGATGCTGTCGGCCTCTCGAGGCTGCTTCCTGGCTCCAGGACCCACAAAAAACGACTCGGGAGGAAAAGCCACCCCCGGTGAAGGGATCGAGACACCTGGGCGCCCATGTCGCGAACAGTAGACTGCGACGGCGCGGACGACCGAGGACGACGACGGCGGCAGAGCGAGAAGAGGGTCATCGAGTGGAAGGGGGAAGGGAGAGGATGGGGAGGGAGGAGGGGGGGTGAAGGGGGGAGCGGGAGGCGGGGAAGGGGGGAAGGAGGGGGGAGCGAGAGGAAAAGGACGTGGAAGAAGGATGGGGGGCGTCGACGACTGGGAGGAGGGAGGGAGAAGTAGGAGGTGGGGAGAGGGGAGAGGATGAGTGGGAGGGAGGCGGAGGGGCCCAGGGGGCACTGGGCAGGGCAGGATAAGTATGGACTGGGCTGGAGCCTCGGGAAACACCTCACCCAGGATCCTGTTTCCCTCCTGGCGAACCCCACTCTTCGGGGACGCACTGACCTGGGGGGGGGGCCGGCGCAAATCGTGGCCGGCGGCACCACGTGCGCGGCCCAGGGTGGGGGGGGGCGGGGACGCAAGGAAACAAGAAGAGTCGCCATGAAATCTGGGGAAATATCATAGCCACCGCCATGATATCCAACCCCCCCGCAGTCTCAGGTCGGGCCTGTCCCCCTACTCCAAAAATACTCCCCAGACATGCAGAAAAAATCGTCCCCATAGTATGTTGTGACTATTTGGGGAGATTCCCCCTGTAGAGGGACACGCCCGACTTGACCCTGGTCATCACCCCCTCCTTGCCGCCCCCGAGCTTGCCCTGACCCCCGCCCCCGAGAGGCTCCCCGGCGAAAAAATGGAGACATGGACTCTCGGAGGTCCGCGCGGAATGCCTGGATCGGCGCTGGGCCCTCCTCCCCCTGGCGCGCGGCACGCGCAGGGGGCGGCGCTGGAGGCGCCGCCCAGGGGAGCCGAGGGCCAATCCAAAAAAAAATCGGGGCGGACGTCCACGAGCTTCTGTAGATGTGTCATAGGTTCGTCTTCTTTGAGTAAAGGATGAGAAGAGCGCAGTTTTGTATTCGCGGCCAGAACGGGCGTCATGGGGAGGGGGGGGGGCGGGAGGGGGCACAACGCAGCGCCCCGCCCCTCCAGAATGTGGTGCTGGACGCACCGCGGCAGTGCCGGGGATGCACTAAGGGAAGAGCGTTACGTTATTGGGTGGGGGATGGGGGAGGGTAGGGGGCAGAACGCGCGTTATGGCCCAGAGGGTAAAAACCGAACTCTCTAAGTGTCCCGCGGTTTTCCAGACTCTGGATGCCTCCCCAGGAGCACAAAATCCAAAATTAATAATAAATAGAGACAGCAAAATAAAGAAAAGCCAGCAAAGTCAATAAAAAAAAAAAAAAAAATACACGGGGCGTGAAAAAAGAGCACAACAAAAAACCAAAATCGGCGCGCGCTCGCAGAGGGCGTTCCAGGGTGCCCGGGAGCCTTCCCGACCGGCTGCTGGAAGCCCGAGGGCTCGGAGGAGGAGGAGGAACAGGAGGGAGGAGGAGGAGAACAGAACAGTGGAGGATGAGGAGGAGGAGGAGGAGGAGGTAGGAGGAACAGGAGGGGAGGAGGAGGAGGAACAGAACAGGGAACAGGAGGAGGAGGAGGACCAGGAGGAGGAGGAGTAGGAGGAGGAACAGGAACAGGACAGGAGAGGAGGAACAGAGGAGGAGGAGGAGGAGGAGGACGAGGAGGAGGAGGAGGAGAAGGAGGAGGAGGAGGGGTTGCATCGACCCCCAGTCGCCCAGTGATCGCCGACGGGGGCCCCGGTATGGCCCACTGCGCCCAGCGCGCGGGCTCGCCGTCGGGGGCCCGTCGCCGATCCGTCGTCGGTGTGCTGCCGTGGCCAGCTCGGTGTCTCCCCCAAGGAAGGGGGGGGGGAGCGGCGGAGGAGGGGGAGGAGGAGGAGGAGGAGGAGGAGGAGGAGGAGGAGGAGGAGGAGGAGGAGGAGGAGGAGGAGGACGGAGGAGAAGGAGGAGGAGGAGAAGGAGGAGGAGGAGGATGGTGATGATGACCGTGATGCTGATGCTGATGCTGATGCTGATGCTGATGCTGATGCTGATGCTGATGCTGATGCTGATGCTGATGATGATGCTGATGCTGATGCTGATGCTGATGATGGATGGTGGATGAGGAGGATGAGGAGGATGAGGAGGATGAGAGGATGAGATGATGAGGATGAGGAATGAGAATGCAACAGGATGATGGAGAGGCGAATGATGAAGAGATGATGATGAGGTGATGATGACGAATTTGCTGATTTTGCTGATGTGATGATGATGAGGATGATTATGATGCTGATGATGTGATATGATGGATGAGGGCCGATTGATGATGAGAGGATGGTGATGATGATGATGATGATGATGATGAGGATGATGGATGGTTGGTGGTGATGATGATGATGGTGGATGATGATGATGATGATGATGATGACGAGGAGGAGGAGGAG